GAGCGGCACCCCCAGCCGTCGGAGCTTTTCACCACGATCATCGTCTTCCTGGGGAAGCCCGACGGGGGCCGCCGCCCGATCGGACTCCTCTGCATGTGGCTGCGCATCTGGAGCCGAATCAGGCGCAAGTACTGCGCGGGCTGGGAGCGGGACCACAAGCCCCCCGAATACTGGGGGGCAGACTCGGACACCTGCTGCGACAGGGCGGCCTACATCCACAACCTCCTGCTCGGCCTGGCGCGTGAGAAGAACTTCGAAGCTGCATCGGTCTACTTCGACATCAGCAAGTTCTACGAGCAGATCAACCACGGGCTGCTCCTCGAAGCGGCACGGGGCTGTGATTTCAACACTGGGTTGATCCAGGCGCTGTGCGTGCTGTATTCGGGCCCCCGCAGGGCCAGGGCCGACCTAGCCCTCAGCGAGCAGCTGGTCATCGATGACACCGTCATTGCTGGATGCTCCTGTGCGACGACCATGGCGAGGATGATGCTGTACGACCTCCTGCTGCAGTCGAGGAAGTTGCTGCCTATTGGCAGGGTGGTCAATGTGATTGACGACATCTCGGGCCACGGCATCGGCACGCGCAGGCTGGTCGTCGAGCAGATCGCCAGGTTCGCGAAGGGCGTCGCCACCATGCTGGGCGACAAGCGGCTCCCCATCAACTGGGGGAAGACCAAGGCACTGGCCTCCTCGGTGAAGCTAGGAGAGAGCTGCAGCAGCACGCCGACTGGGTCCTCGCTGACGAAGCCTTCGTCGCTGGCCACCGCGACCTTGGAGGCGACGCGACGGCGGGTAGTCACCGCAGGGTCGGGACGCAGGTGGCCAGGGAGTTGGCGGCGCTGCGGCATGGCAACAACCTCACCAGGATCTTCGGCTCGGGGATGAGGCAGGCCAAGATCCAGAGGGCAGGCCCCGCTGCCAAGGCCCTGTGGGGCTCGGCCATCAACGGGATCCCGCCTGGGCGCATGAGGGCGCTCAGGATATCTGCGGCGAAAGCCGCCTGCAACCTGCCGACGGGCGCCGCGCTGACCTTCTGCTTGCAGTGCGCGCCCCAGGGCTGGGGGCAGGATCCGCTGGTGATTGCGACGGGCATGGCTGTCCAGGCTTTCGTGGCCATGAGCTGGTCTGGCCAGGCCTCTCCTGCCGCCGTGCAGGCCTGCCTCAGGGACAGCAGCCGTCTGGCCTCGCTGCAGAGGCCGTGGGCCGCGGTGCGCGACCCCGTCTCGGCGCTGGTGCTCACGCTAGGGCGGGTCGGCTTGGGTCTCAGAGTTGGCGGGCGCGTCCTGACCGACAGGGGGGGCAGCGAGTTCGACGTCAAGAGGTTCTCGCCCGCCTTCCTCGCCGCCAGGGTCAAGGAGGACACGCGTCAGGCGGCATCGCTCGAGGAGTACGTCAGCAGGCCCGAGACCTTCTGGCAGTGGCGGCCGCCGCCGTGGTGGACGCCGATCAACCAGCTCCTCGGCGCCAAGGAGTCGGAAACCTGGACGGCTCACCACAAAGGGTGCCTGAGACGCTTGGCGTCGCTGGCCAGCTGGCCCCAGGCCCGACTGGCGAGGCATGGGCGTGAGATTGACCCGCTCTGCAGGCTCTGCGGCGCCGCCCCTGGGACGATGCACCACAGACACCATGCGTGCCCAGCCTGGGCGGCCTGGAGGCGGGACTTCTGCCCGTGCCAGGTGAGACAGGCAGCGGAGCAGACCCGCCGCATGGGGCCCCCCTTCGACGAGCTCTTCAGTCAGGGGCTTTTCGCCGACATCAGCCTCCTGGTGGCCAGGCCAGCCTGGGATGACAGCTGGGCGCGGCGATCCTGCGGGTGGGGGGGCGGCATCTTGGTGGTGCCCGACGGTTCCTTTGTCTTCACCGACGGCTCGTGCCTGAACGGGGACTTCCCGCACGTCAGGAGCGCTGGCTGGGCGGTCATCGCGCGCGGTCCCGAGGGGGGGCTCATCGCCGAGGCATGGGGCGCAGTGCCCCCCAGCGACCTCCCGTCGCAGACGGCCAAGGCGGGTGAGGACTACGCTGCCGCCATCGGCCTCGCCGGCACCATCGGGAACTACACGCTGCTCAGCGACTGCCTGAGCACGGTGAAGGCGGCGTCTAACCTGACCAAGGCCTGCGGCCCCAGCTCCCTGCACGCCCACGTGTGGGCCAGGGTGGGCTACGCAGCGGAGGGCGTCATCATTCGCCACGTGCCCGCCCACCGCGCCGAGGCCGCGGTGCAGGACGGGGACCTCGCCCTCTTCGAGCTCGTGGGCAACAGGCGCGCCGACACCAGGGCAAAGGAAGGAGCGGCATTCCACGCCACCGCGGACCATGACGCCCTGATGTTGGAGGGCTGCCTGGCTCGGGCGAAGGAGGTGGCCAGGTGCGCGGCGGCCCTCGAGGTGCACATCACCGAGTCGGGGCTCAGGGATTCCTGGCCGCTCACCTCCTTGGACCTCGTGGACCTGGACCCCTTCGCTCCGTCGCCCGCCCTGGAGCTGCTGCTGGAGGCCGAGGAGTCGACTGCCCGTGGCCCTGGCGGACTGGCGGCCCTGGGGGCGGCAGCAGCGCTGGCGACGGCAGCGGCGGCCAGCCAGGGGGCCCAGGCCCAGGACCAGGTCGACACGAAGGTCCGCAAGAGGAAGGTGTCAGGCGAGGGGCCAGTCGGGCCCAGTGAGCCAGTCGCTGACGCGTCGAGCGCGTCGGCGGCCTTGCTTCGTGCGGTCCAGCGTCGCCGCGCAGAGAAGGCGGAGCGGGCAGCGCCCTCGGCCGCGGGCGCACTGAGCCCGCCCCCGTCGGCTGTGTCGCAGCCCCCATCCCCCTCCTTCCTCTGCGGCCTCCCCTGCTGCTGCGGTCGCCGCCCCGCCTCCGCGAGCCCTCTCAGGCCCAGCTGGCCAGGGGAGGACCCCAGGGCCCCATTTTGAGACCCCAGACTCTGGCCAAATGTCGGGGGTCTCTATTTCGAGTGTTTCGCGTGCTTGCCCGTCCCAGGGCGACCCTGTCGAGTCGGGAGTCTGGGAGGTCAACGGCCACCGTCTTCGTGAATCGCGCGTTTCTGGCGGTGACGGCCCTGAGTTTTTGGTGTGTGTGGCGTGCTGGATGTATTGCTTGAAACCCCAGTACTGCCACAGGGGCCTAGCCAAGGCCTGCAGCGGGGCCCAGCGCGCTGACGACCCCAGGGCCAAAAAGGGCTCCAGGGCGCAGGCGCGAAACGATTTCGCGAAGTCGATCCTGCCTGGGAAATCCAAGCAGCCGATCGACCAGCTGGCTCGGTCCACAGCGGCCACCCGTGCCAGGTGGGCCGAGGCGCTTGGCTCGGTCGCGGGCACTGTGGGCACGGAGGACCCAGTGGCCCCTGCAGGCTCCAGAGCCCCCGCCTTGGAGCCCCCAGAGGTGCGGGATCGGGCACCCGCCCCGCTTGCCCCAGGGAGGCTGTTTCGCCCAGGGCTCGAGGGAGCCCTGGGCTCTTTCGGCTTTGCCAGCGCTGCTGAGGCTCAGGAGCGAGGCAGGGCCGCCAGGGCGGCCAGGATGGCGGACCCCAGGCCAGTGGTTGGTCTGAGCGCGGAGTGACGGTCGCGCTTCGGGGTCTGGGCCTGGTCGGCCGCGGGCCCGTGCAAGCTCTGTTTGCGGGGCCGTAAGACGGCGTCCGAATTGGTTTGTGCATGGTAAGCCCCAGGGTGATAGGATAAAAAATGCCTTGACCGTATATGTTTTCACTGGGTAGGCCAAACGCGCACGGACTTCCTCCTCACATGATGAGTGCACGCTGGGCTGACTGCGTCGGGGGGCCTCGGTGCTCCGCGAGACACGATGGAGAACACAAGGGCCCGACACGCCAACTGCTTCAAGCGCGGGGTTGGATAGATTAGCTCCTCCCCGGGTGCACTATCTGCCGTGTCTTCACCCTGTCAAGGTGCCAAGTCCGATTTGCCGCATCCCAGGCAGTTTGACACGGCGCCTTCGCAGGCTCAATTTTGATTCGATCGGTTCGATTCGATATTGGTTCAGGTCGACCCGACCCAATTCGATTCCGATATTCAGACGATCTGGTGCGGCCCACTGCTTGCATGGCGTCGTTGATCATCCCAGCGCAGCCGATCCGATTCGATGTCGATTCCGTGCTGTCGATTTTGAATGGTATTGTCTTGTCTCCTCCCAGCTCTTTCCTCCTCCCGTTTGGGCCAGACGAAAGGGAGGGTTTGTGAAAGGGGGTAGCACGAAATCGGTTGCAGGCAGAAGGTTTCGACCCCGCCGCGGAGGGAGACCAGCTGCATGCGGCTGATTCGCACCCCCCCCTTCGCTAGCTCCCTGTCCGCCGCGATCCTTCTTGGGCGGGGCTTGCGGCTAGAACAAGGATACATCCGTTCTAGAGCGTTCGGTCACGCTCTCAGAGCGGCCGCGGCGCCCGATGCCAGATCGGCTGCGGTGCCCGATACTTCCTACAGAACCGCTGGGCCTCAGAGATCCCCGATGCATATTCGTCCGATTTGATCCTTGCCCTGGTTTCGTCTTGCCTCCTTTTCTTCAAGGGAGGAAAAAGAAGAAAAAACACCTGGACCGGACAATCGGCGTTCACCAAACAGCCTTGGGCGTTTATTGTAAACCCTGCCCTGTTGGATTCCTTCCTTGGGTGCGTTTACTTAACGGCTTCACTTGTCGGGAGATTCTTCTGGAGGTGGATTTTCTGCCCTCTATTTGAATGGCCTCCGTCCAGTGCCGCCGATCTGGTGCGCTCCGGATGCTGGTTGTTGGTACGACGACGACGGCGACGACGACGACGACGATGACGACCTCGACGCCGACAACGGACGACTAACGACTAACGGGAGGAGGGAGGCGGGAGGCGGGAGGCGGGAGGGGGGGGAGGGAACAGGCGGGAGGCGGGGGGAGGGGAGGGAGGAGAGAGGAAGGGGACGGCGGAGGGAGGAGGGGGAGAGAGAGGAGGAGGAGGGGGAGGGAGGAGGGAGGAGGGGGAGGGAGGATGTTGGATTTTCTGCCCTCTATTGCTCCCCAGAGAGGCCTCTGGAGACGTCGACGGTGGTCACGCTCCAGGCCAGCTCGGAGTCCCACGACAGGAGGGGCCCGGGATAAGTGGAGGCAGGAGCGAGCAGGGGTCACGGGCAGAGGGCAAGGAGAGACAGGAGGAGGAGGAGGAGGAGGGGGAGGAGGAGGAGGAGGAGGACGACGAGGAGGAGGAGGAGGAGGAGGACGACGAGGAGGAGGAGGAGGAGCAGGAGGAGGAGGAGGAGAGCAGGAGGAGGAGGAGGAGGAGCAGGAGGAGGAGGAGGAGGAGGAGGAGGAGGAGGGGGAGGAGGAGGAGGAGGAGGAGGAGTGTCAAAAAGTGACCCTCCCAGGGGCCGACAAAGGACCCTCGGACACATCGGGCCCCCTCCAACAAAAAAGCCAGGGAAGGGAGGAGAAGGGTTCCCCTGGCTGTGGAAGAGGACAGAGAACCTCGTTAAACCACCGGTCGCCCAGAGGGTTCGTGGGATTTACGGTGGATCGTGGCCGTGGGAACGCGGACGCAGGCTCATTTCCGAAGGATCCTGGCCCTGGGTCAGGGACTTCCCGTGGCACGTTCCTTGTCGCGTTCCTTGGCGCGTCCCTTGGCGCGTCGCCTGGCAAGTTCCCTGGCGCGTTCCGGGGCGCGTCCCGCGGCGAGGCCCCCTGGCACGTCGCGCGGCGCGCCCCCTTGGCACGTTCGGTGGCACGGTCACCGGCACGCTCCAAAGCGCGTCCCCTTGGCACGTCCCGCGGTGCGCCCCCGTGGCGTGCCCCCTGGCGCGTCCCTTGCGACGTTCTGCGGCGCGTCCTCGCCCCCGTGGCGTGCCCCCTGGCGCGTCCCTTGCGACGTTCTGCGGCGCGTCCTCCCGGGCATGCGCCCCTGGCGTCGCCCAAATGCATGTGCAATAGAGGTCCTTAAAAACGGCTCCATGTCCCGCAGATGTCAATCCCTTTTTCTGGGTTCGTGGGTCGATCATGTTTCGGCCTTGCTGGAGCGGGGCATGAAGGGAGCCAAGACATGGGCACGGCGCATGGGCGCCGCTCTCGTAGTTGAGAAAGAAGGCCAGCATGCACGAAGGCAAAGGAGAAGCCAGCGAGCACGTGGAATTGAACGCGCAGGGGCAATACGTGGGCGGCGAAAGGAAGGGAATCCAAAGGCGGTCGAAGAGCAAAGTGGGGAGACGCGGGGGGTGGGGGGGGGCGAGGACAGGGAGCACGATATGGGAAACAAAAGGTACCGACACCGCGACCCCCCAGGCCTCGCACGGGGTGCGTTCTGATCAGAATTTCGAGGCGAATCCGCGGTGGCGACGAGGGCCTCCCGGGAGGCCCAACATTGCGAAAACAAGGGAAGGGCAGTTCTATCGCTACTTTTTTCTCGTCCTCCGACGATCATGGAGGAGAGGAGGGGACAGGGGAGAGGAGGACAGCGGAAGGCACGACCGGGAGCAGGAGCAGGAAGACGCGGCCGGGGGCAGCAGATGCAGGGCCAGGACGGGGCATTGGCAGTGCTCTCGCAGGCTTGGCTCGCGGTGGTGCTACGCCGTGCAGTCGGGCCGAGGTAGAAGATCGAGGTCGGCTCGGGGAGGGCACCTTGGTGTTCTGCGTGCTTGTGGGATGTTCTTGTGCATCCTGGGGAGGGCCTTGGCCGACGGAGGGTCTCGCGTTCTCTGGAGGACTCCGTTCTGGCCCGGGCTCGACCGTGGTGCTGTCCGCTCCGCGCGCCCCCCAGAGCCAGGACGCGCGCCCGGCGAGGAGCCCGGCGAGGAGCGCAAGCGGGCGGGGGGCCTCAGGCAGGGCGCGCGCGCCCCCCTCAGGATGACCGCTGCGCTGGAGAGGATCGCCAGGATGGCGGCCAAGGAGCAGGGGCAGGTGTGAAGGGGGGGGGATCGGCGTACAGTGCCGTATTTAAAATACATGCTCCGCGTGCGGACCATGTACCAAACATGCAGGGATTTATAGTATCAAAAACAAAGACGAGTTCATGCATGCATTTATGCATACATCAATCACGTATTAGAATTGCCATATCAAAGAATAATCCTGTGTATATTAGAAGTTGCCCTGTAGGGTGGGCTGCATCTGTGCTCGGCGCGCCGCGGCTCTCGGAGGGCGCCGAAAGCTTCGAAGCGTTCGGACTCTGCGTCGGTTCCCGACGGCTCTCCGGCCTCGGGATACTGTCCAGCGGCTGCGCCCCGTCGAGGGCATCCCGGGTTTGCCAGGATCGCCCCGAGCGGCCGCCAGAGGCAGGGAGCCCACAGTCAGAGGCCAGCAACATATGTACACCTTAGGCGATGCTTAAGAAAACTTACGTTTTCGGCCAGAGTCTCGATTATTCTTAACGTTTCAATGTAAATCTTAAGATTTTGATAGGAATGGTGGGTTTTTATTCAAGTTCTGAGACTATGAATTTCTTAACCCATGATTTCTTAAGCATTTCGCAGGGTGTACACGTACGCGGTTAGTTTCCCCTGGAGTGCGTGTCAACGCGGACGTTCGTGCAGGCAAGACCGCGGAGGGCGTACATGTACATATGTCGTTGCTCGCCCACACAAAGGACGTACGCGCCCAGCTATGTACATGAACACGGCCCCTCGATCCGCGAGACCGGCCGCATTACACGAACATTTGCGCAATGCGGACTCTCGAAACCAGCGCGGATTCATGTACATGTGCGTCCTTGTTTCGCTCCTGAAGAGGCAGGGGGGCATGGGGGAGGGGGGCGGTAGGCATGGGGGGGGGGGCATGGACCCCCAATCGCCCTCTGATCGCCGAGAGGGGTCTGATACCCCCGCCCTGCCCAGGAACGTGCGCATGTGCTGTCGGTGCCCAGCCGCCGATCTGTCGGCGACATATCGCCTGTTCCAGGTCGATGTTCCCCCTCAATGCCTTCTCAGAAGGCTCTGCAGTCCCCCAGTCTTCTGAGAACCTTTCTGAGCCCTCCCGTCCCCGAAGACTCCACAGAAACCTCTCAGAAGGCCTCCTCCGCCTTCTGAGAAGGTCTTCTCTCGAACTAGAAAACACCACAAAGACATAAACTTTTGGCGTTCCGCGAGGATTTCTTGGATCCGCGCCTGGGCCCCCCGGCGGCGCCTCCGGCGCCGCCCCTGGCGCGCTCCGCGCGCCAGGGAGGGGGGTCCAGGCGCGAGCCCAAGAAATCCGCGCGGAGCGCCAACAGGTTATGTTTACGCGGCTTTTTCGTCTTCTACTCTCCTTCTCGTCTTCCCCCCCCCCGTCCCTGAAGGCTCCCCCCGTCTCCGAAGACTCCACAGAAACCTCTCAGAAGGCCTCCTCCGCCTTCTGAGAAGGTCTTCTCTCGAACTAGAAAACACCACAAAGACATAAACTTTTGGCGTTCCGCGAGGATTTCTTGGATCCGCGCCTGGGCCCCCCGGCGGCGCCTCCGGCGCCGCCCCTGGCGCGCTCCGCGCGCCAGGGAGGGGGGTCCAGGCGCGAGCCCAAGAAATCCGCGCGGAGCGCCAACAGGTTATGTTTACGCGGCTTTTTCGTCTTCTACTCTCCTTCTCGTCTTCCCCCCCCCCCGTCCCTGAAGGCTCCCCCCGTCCCCGAAGACTCCACGGAAACCTCTCAGGAGGCCCCCCCCGTCCTCCCGGAAGGCCTTCCTCCCTCTCGTTCCGCCCCCCCGTCGCCCGCCGCCTCGAGAACCGCTGCCCTGGCATCGCTCGGACGTGTGTGTTCTTGCTTCTCGGCGAGGACCCTCGGGGGAGCATCCTGGAGAGCACCAGGTGGCAAAAGCGCGCACGAAAGGCGACAAACGCACGGGGAGTGGACGTCCGAGTCAGGGGGCCACATTGCGAACCCTACCCCTACCCCCCACGATTTCTAAGGGGGAGGGTGGGGTTCACTTCGCTCAGGGAGCTCCCGAACCGAAGTGAACCCCACCCTCCCCCTCGGACATCGTGCGGGGTATAGGGGTAGGGTTCGCACGTGGCCCCCTACGAGTGCTGGCGAGCTGCCCCCCCCCCCCGCCGAGGACGACGCGACCCGGGAGAGGAAGCACAGCCAGTCGGGCGGGGGCCGGGGCCTCGGCGTGCCGCGCCCCCCCCGCTCGCCGGGAGGGGTCTGAAGCAGTGGCGAGGCGTCCCGGCGTGCCTACAGCAGGAGGGACAGAAGCACACAGGCACGAGGAGTCGTCGATTCCCCAGGAAGTATGGGAAAATAATGGATCGTGGGAGGGGGGGGAGACAAGACCCCTGGGAAAAATCAGAAAACATGGGGAATCCTGTTATTATTTTTGTGTGTGTGTGTGTGTGTCAGGGCCCCTTCAGTATAGGCCCACCAGACAATGTTTTAGGAACCTCGTGTGGTTTCTGCGAACTGTTCTTGGAGCATGTCTGGCCGATCTTGTCTATTGTTTTATCCCATCGGGCTTATGTTCTAAGAACACTGTTTTCGTTCTCTGAACATTTGGCTGTTCTAAGAAAATTCCGTGGTAGGCTTATAGGAATGCCGGGACGGTCGGTCCCCGCTCGCCGGAGGAGGGGCCGCAGCGGCGGCGCCGAGGTTCCTCGAGGTCTCCGCGAGGGCAGCCTCTTAAGTCGGGCGCGTCCCTCTACATGGGGAATGTTCAAAAGATAGTCAAAAATAGTGGGAGGACGTTTTTTTTGGCATGTGCTTAATATTTTGTGGATATTCTTGCGACTGTTTTTATTTTCCGCCCAAGATCGGCCTGTAGGGGGACGACTATTTTAGTATTTGTTTTCCCCCAACCAGTGCTTGCACTGAAGGGGTCCTAGCGGATGTTTCCCCAATGAGTGCTTTTACTGAAGGGGTCCTAGCGGAAGTTGAAAGATTTGGCGAAAGTCCCCGCCGATTTCGGTGCCAGGCTGGGTTCCCGGGTTCCCGGTTCCGGGTTCCGGGTTCCCGGTTCCGGGTTCCGGGCCGATTTCGGAGGGCGGCGAGGTTCCCAGGTTCCCCGGTTCTTGGTCGATCTTATCGATCGGTCTCACCATCGATCTCATTACCGATTTCTCGATCGGTCTCACCATCGATCTCATAATCGACCCCCCCAGGCGTGGGCGAGGCTCCACCCTGCGACGACGAGGCCGCCCATGCTGTGGATCGTCGCGGCGCTGGCGGCCCAGGTGATGGTCGACTGGGGGGGCCGCCGCCCGCGCTGCTGGCGGCGCTCTTCTTCGCGTGCTGCCTGGGGCCCTCGGAGGGGCCGAACCTGCAGGTGGCCGACGTCGCGGCGCCGTCGAAACCCCGCCTCCACGTTCGCGACGATCAACCTCCACCCCGAGGAGAGAGGCCAGACATCGAAGACCATGGCGACCAACGAGAGCTCGTTGATCGATCACTCTCGTCGGGCCTTCGTCGCTCAGGCCCTCCTCCCTGTAGCGCGGCAGGCAGCAGGAGCGAGGGTCTTCCCGTTCGCGACGCCGCGGTTCAACGCACTCTTCCGGGCGGCCCAGGAGGAGATGAAGATGGAGACAACTCACGTGCTATATACCAGCTCTTCCACGGCGGCTCGCGAGCTCGCGCGGAGGGGTTGCACCGTCTACGCTCTCGACGTGGCGCGTGCCGCCGACCAAGACATCTTTAGGGTTGACGCCTGGCGCGCCCTCGTTTCTCTCGCCTGTGCACCAGACTGTCGCCTCTTCTGGCCGGGGGCCCCCTGCGCCGCCTGGCCCGGGGCCTGGATGGGAGGGGCTGGCCCCGCGCCCCCCGGGGATTCGGGGCCAGGGTTGATTGGTGCCCCCGGCCTCGGTGAAACGGATGCTGGGAAGGTCCGCTTAGGCAGCGCTTTGATGCGGGCCTCGGCGGCCCTCGCTCCATTGCGCTGGGAAGCCCGAATTCTTTCGGGCATCGAAAATCCCATGACCTCGAGGATTCGGTTAACTCGGCAGCTCCATTATTTAAGGCGTCTCGGGGCTGAAGCGTTCACAGCCAAATTCTGCAAGCATGGGGCCCCGTGGCAAAAGAATGCTTCAATGCTTGTGATCGGGCGCCCGTCTCTTGCACATGTTTGTATATGCGCAATGCAAAGAGGCCGTGTGTTCCGCTACGAATAAGAAGCATGATCAGTTCGTCGGCAAGACGGCAGTTGGAAAATTCAAGATTTTAGTTGCACAGCCCCACGCACAACTCTTCGTGGAGCATGTGTGTGATCTTCACTTTTAACGCTTCGCGTTGGCCTGCAGCCAGGCCCCATCTTGGGGTTGGGGGTCTCGACGCGCGTTTCAGTTCAGTGCCTGTGATCAGTGTATGATCGCTGGCCTGCTCTCAGGCCCTTCAGTGCTATCGGATCTGCGTCGCACCCTTGGCGTTGATAAAAGAGCAGAGCCACATGAATGCTTCTGCTCGGGAATATTGTCTGCGGGTTTAGAGCCACGCAGCCTTGGCAGCATCGTTTTCGTTCCGTGGCGACGACGGCTCAAGCTTTTCTGGTGATCCCCAAGCCTACCCTTTCCCCCCTACTGCCCAGCAAAGCTGGGCGGTCTCGACACGCTTCTCACTGCCTGTGATCAGCGCATGCTTGCTGGCCTGCTCCCAGGCCCTTCGGTGATACCAGATATGCTTCGCATCTCTGGCGGTGATAAAAGAGCAGAGCCACATGTTTACGCAATTGTTCGTTCCTCTAAGTAGGCGGGGTTCCTCGTCGCGTGGCGGTTGGGGCCAGGGCGCGCCGCTATCCAGCACGTCGCACTATGTGCCATCCCAGCATTCGAGCGCCGCACTGGCCGCTGTCTGAGGCGCCGCCAGGTCCAGCACGGTGGTGTGGTTGTCCTCTGGCAGTTGCGGTTGCCGCGGTCTTTTCCGATTTCGCCCCATTTGCGAATGTCTCTTGTTGATCTCTCT